TGTACAAGATGATTTGCTACGCCATCAATTGAAAAAACTACTAGTGACAGAATCAAATTTAAATTTGAAAGAACTTTGGAAGTTTGTTTGGTTTGCATCTCTTTTATTTTATTTTTCGCTTTTCTCTTACTCTATTGCGTAGTTAAATCGTTTCATCTTTATTACTATTATTTATACGGTTGAGTGTGTGATTGTTTGGGCTATGTTTGGATAGTTAAAATTGGTTGCAAATATTTGCTTGATTTGTGAACAATCTAATTTACCTCCTTTGTTAAGTTGCTCGGGCCTTACAATTAAATTAAACAATACTATAAATTCTCTCCAATTGGTTATGCCACATAAGACAAAAAGACATGTATATGAAATTTACCAATGCTTATAAAAGATTTTTCTCATGAATGCTACTAGGGCTACTCATATTGTTGTTAAAACTCTTAAATTACACCAAACTTAATGCTCCTGGGGCTACTTAAATACTTGTTATGATACCTAAATTATATCTAACTTACCATGTGAATGTATACACTTACATTTATTGCCTCATTTAGATGCTTTTAAAATTAGTTTAATTTGTCAAAAAATTAACATTTGAAGTTATTCTAATTAGTGCCCGAGGGTACTTCTTTGCCAAACCCATGTTATAAATTGACTATTATATGCTGTTTTTTCATGTCTATTTGCAAATAGTTATTTTTTTTTTCAAATGAAATGAAGTAGGGAAGGGCCTCGATCTAATGGTCAATATTGAAGTCCTAAGATTTAGAGGTCTTGAGTTTAAATTCTCATTCCCTTTCCCCACTTCCAAGATCCTCCCTTGTTAGGAAAAGAAAAAAAAAAAAGAGAAGAAGTGTATATACCTGTAAGAATTAAATGTGAAAGTTCATATACAAAAGCATACATTCGAACATAGGAACTAAACTCATAAAATTTTTATATTTGGTCACTTCGACAATTGAGCTGTGAAGTTTATTAATTTGCTATAGTTTCAAAATTATTTGTGTCATGTACACACAGATATATATATATATATATATATATATATATATATATATTTGTTAATTGTCAGTTTCTTAAATTTTAGAATTAATTAATCCATAGCTTTCTTCTTTGTATGCATTCTCTCCATTCACATTATGCCACATTTTCATTTTGTATCTTAAATTCTAGAACTCGTTATATCCTTCTCTTCTCTACTCCTATAATTTGGCTCAATTATTTAATATTATTTCTAAAACTCTAGCAATTTTATATGTTATCTATATTTTTAGCATATTACTCATACTAATCTACTTGGATGTTCAAGTAGTCATTCTTTTCTTAAAATTTCTCTACTAATTAATATGTTTTTTTTCCCCTAAGATCCAATCTCCATGCAATTTATTTGTGCAAGGTGATATCCATGTGAGAATTGACTTGGGCAAGTTCTTTATTAGCTTCCTCTTCAAACCTTTTTATTCCCAAAAGCGTGATAAATCACCTCTTAAATTAGTTTCATTTTCCAATTTAGTATTTATTAAGCAAATACAAATTTCCTATTAGTTTTATTTTATTTCTTTTTTTTGTTTTCAAGTTTTCATTATTCAAATAAATCAAAATTTAGCTGCATTTATGTCCTATATTTGTTTCCTTTCATGTACAGATTCTAAATTAGATTTTCTCCTTTTTCTTTGTATGCCTTTTTTAATATTTCATCCCTACAAGAAATTTAGGATATGCAATATCCAATTTACAAAAATTAAAGAAAATATATGCATTTAATTAAATAGTTTAATCGATTTCATCCTCTCCCTAATTTAGTAATCAAAGAAAATACAAGGAACTGGATTCAGGAATTCCTCGTCTATGTCGAAAGATCCTCAACATGTCTAGATATGTAGTTGAGTTTATTTAGAATGTTGCGTATTATTTTCAACCTATTCGTAATTTATGTAATATAACGTATAAATAGACATACCATATCGTATTCAGATTTTTCTCCTCTCCTCTTTCTGTTCAGATTTTCCTCCTCTTCTCTTCCTATTCTATTCGTAGTTTATGTAATATATCCTATAACCATATAAATAGACACATTTAGGATATTGTGACTTTTCTGCTAATATATCAAATGTTGGTTGATTTGATCTATTCTCCTAATACATCAAATCATGTTGGCTAATTGTTGGTTGATTTTATCTAATTGTTGAGAGCTTTATTGGATTTTATCTAATTGTTGAGAGTATTCTTGGAAGGTGATCACTATAAACACGATGTAAATTTGGAACAAATTTTTATAGGTCCCACACGTATCAGTAAAATTGATATACAAGATTTAATTTGGGTCTTATAATCTTTTTTCTTTGATAAATCCTCACTATCAATCTCCTGTTATTGTTTCTGTTTTTTATTGCTGAGTCTTCCATTTCGTAATTGAAGATCATATGAATTTATTAGATAAAACCTAGCAAAGTGCAACCACATCTTCTAGAATGGTACTTGTTACAACATTGATGTCATGAACTTTGTACACCTAATGCCTCTGTCGCTCTAACACATTGAATGCTACATATTTGTCTCTTTGTATTTGCTTCATGATTTCCAAAACGGACCGCAAGAACCCCCATTTTCAAACGGAGACCTTCTTGCTCCCTGAAGAGTTTTCAACCAGCCAATGTTACTCCAATTGTTACTGCTACTTAGAAAAATTGACTAAATCACAGGCACGTGAGAGACTTCAGCAATGATGATGTTCTACGCAAAACAAACCGGTCAAAGATAATCACTGTGTGAGGCCACCAAATTGAACAATCTGATGTGAATACGCAATGTAACTGCTGTCTTTACTGAAATACTAATGCTTAGGTGACTTTTTGATATTTGACCGAAGTATTCCTAATATTTGACGTTGTTGCTTGCCTGTGACTGAATCAATTTTGTACACTTCATTTGGATCAAAGTGAAACAGTTAAAAATTTTTAGAGTGCAATAGGTTCCAAATATGAAGTTTGGGATGAAATGTGAACATTGATTGACATTTGACATGATGTTATAGTGATGTTTCCCTGGACTTTTCTTGACCCTTTTAACTGTTTGATCAAAATGGGACAAATAAAAGAATTTAGGTACATACTATTCAAAACTAATAGTCCATTTGGATTGCTATTTTTTTTTTTTTTAAGTTTTCTAGAAAAGTGTATTAAAACTTTTGTTTTAGCAAGCTTCAATAAAGCAAATTCACTTTTATGTTTAAGTCACGCAATTAAACATTTACTTTTTTGGTAAAGTGTATTATTGATCATCAAATTTGTCCAAAATATCATCTATGCTGCTACTTTGTTTTTCGTATCAATTGACCTATTAAACTCTTCAAGGTGGTTAATTCGACCATTCCATCACTTGCTTGATTAAATTAGATGGAATTCATGGAACTGAGAGCTCCACACTACATTTTTGGAGGCATTCTAGCCAAATCGTAAGCAACAATAGTACAGTGGGTTCAATGTAATTTTAGAAAAGTTTAGTTACTAAAATTCATACAAAAAGTTATAACATGGATAATCTTTGCATTCCTTAGTCCTTTTTTTTTAAAAAAATAAACAATGTATTTTAGCAAGAAAATAATTGTAATTTGTAAAGAAAAAAAGAGAGGGAAAGAAAATCTACGAAAGAGGGTCACAGAATTAAAATCTTTTAAGGAAATATTGTATTGCTGAATAGGTAAAGAAGAATTTAAGAAAAAGAAAGAAATTTCTTTGAAAAGACAAAATATCTTAGAAAGAAATTCATAGTATACTTTTCTAATAAGAAATATTTTTTTTTGTTTTTCTTTAGGGCAAATTACACTTTATCCCCCTGTGGTATAGCTAATTTTCACATAATCCCCCTATAATTTTAAAACTATATATAACTCCATCATAGTTTGGATTAAAGTGTCAAAATGACAGAAATAATCATCCGTAACGGAATCTATGAAAATATCGAAATTATCCTTGTTTAAAAACTAAAATGGCTGAAATGACTAAAATATATAAATATAATATGCATGACACTCTAACCTGTATGATTTTATAATTTATCACATAACCTTCTTATGGTTTAGTGCTTTACCATATAACCTTTTTATGGTTTTCAATATATACACATAACCCTTTGTGGTTAACAAATAATTTTCAACTTTATATAGGGGTATTTTTGATATTTTAGTTGATTCCGTTATGGATTGTTAATTCTGTCACTTAGACACTTTAATTCAAACTATAAAAGGGTTATGTATCACTTTCGAAACCATAGGGGAGTTATATAAATAAACACTAAACCGTAGGGGGATAAAGTGTAATTTGCCCTTTTCTTTATTTGTTCCCCAGTAGAATATTTGCTTAGAGGTTTTGTCCTGACACATTTCTTTTTGCTTTTATTCTATTATTTTGAAATATGAATAGATTTTTTTAAAAATATAAATTTAATTTCTTGCTAAAATACTTCTGTTTTTTTCCCAAAAGATTTAGCAGTGAAAAAATTATTTGCGTAATTATAACTTTTTGCTGTTAAGTACTCCAATTTCGCCCACTCTACCATTTTTTTTAAAAAAATTTATGAAGTAATGAAGGTGTCCCTGCAAGTGTAGTGTAGAGCTCACATGCCATTAATCCCCTCTATTTTAACACAACAAATTGATAGAGTATTTAGGAGTTGAATTGTTTAGTTGACATGAAAAATAGTATGCATTATATAGTGAGATAAGATTTTAGAAAAGTTCTGATGAGTGTGTTACACTTAACCCATCCTTTTTTAATGCATTGATTACTTAAGAAGAAGCATGTAATCTTCACCTAAAATCTGTCTTTTATAGTTGAGTTGACTATGAAAAAAAAACTGATAAACTGCCAAATCCTTGATCAATCAATGACTATCCATAACTGAAATAGTTCTGTAGTTATTATACAACAAAGCAGTATTCATCAGTACAGGATGAAAAGAAATCTGCAACATGATCAAATTGGTAGCCCAAACCAAGCATAATAACATCAGTAATCTGTTGCAAATGATGAAATAATGATCTGCATATCCGCATTTCCCATGCTCAGTTGTTCTTCCAGAACTTCCTCTACTGAACTTGCAGAGTTTGGACAATCAACCACCTCAATCATTTCAAGAGTCGAAATATTTCCTAGAGAAGAAGGGATCTCCTCCAGATGAGGACATCTTTCCAATACTAATTTTTGTAGACGAGGAAAACATTCCTCACACCCGAAGGCTGTCCATTTGACGACCATCAAGGAAGATAATTTCAAGAATCTGAGTTTAGGGAATTCCGCTTCTTCCATGTTCCATTGCTTCCCATGAAGGCTTGGTCGAGTAATTTGAGAAACTCAAGATTTGGTAGTTCTGCAATTGCTAATATATTACACCACGGCAAGCAAAATCCAGATAGAGTCAATTTTCTGATTGTCAAAGAGAATTGGAACTCAATTTGATATTCCACATCACAAAATGGATTGAAGTTCAAATTGAGTGATTCCAATTGACTTAAAAGGTCAAGTACTACAATGCTGTTGCTTGCATTCCCAGCAGAATCCCAGTATTCAAGAGCCTACATTTCAGCTGACGAATATTTGGAAACTTTCTAAGTATCTTATCCATGTTTTCCCATGAAGAAAGAATTGCACTGGAGAAGGTATATAAATCACACAACTGTGCAGCATTGTCAAGATTGTCAGTAGGCAGCACAAAACCGAAACCAAGTAATAACTTGTCCTTTATTTGCAAATGCCTTAGTTTCTTCAGATCTCATATTGTATCAGGCAGTGAAACCATTGGTTTAAATGACTTCACAATAAAAGTTTCCAAATTGCAGAGATTGGCTATCAATGATGGGATGGACGCTATCTCACCTTGAATTGCCAAGTACTTCAACTGAACAAGCAACTCTATTTCTTTAGGAAAGGTATTCCCAAAATGAATTTGGCTTACATCCAACACTCTAAGAAGCCTATAGATGTGAAAAATGAATGAAAGATCAAACCAAGTTAATCGGTCCATTTTACCAAGGGGGAAGAATAATAGAGAACGTATGGTGGGAGAAAATAACCTTGACTCACAAAAGTGCTCTGGCTCAGAGTGGATGCACAGGCGGCGTAGGTAGTGTGGCACTTCAAAAGTAAACAGTTCATCATTCCCATGTATCAGATAAAAGAAGTTCTCTTCTTTGGCTTTTGTCACACAGAACTCGCGTAAAAAATCATGGATGCAACAAGTTTTGACTCCACCTATGGATCTCTGTTTGGATACCATGACTAAACTTCTGCCAATGAGATCCATCATGTAATCATTTGCCACATCCTCTGAGCTCTTGAGCTGAGTTTGTCGAGCAAATCCTTCTGCAGCCCATAGCCAAATCAACCTCTCTGTAGTGTGTTCATAGTCTTCAGAAAATGCTCTAAAATATAGAAAGCATGGCTTCAAATTTTCTGGTAAATTTTTGTAACTCAGCTCTAATGACTTAACGCATTGTTGTGTAGTAGAAACAGCACTTCAATTAAACTTTCCACAACTTCTTTCCAGCCATGTTGGTCTGTAGTTGCTAGAATGCCATCAAGAATAACAATAGTAAGCGGTAATCCTTTGCACAATTTCCACAATTTGCATCCGAAATTCACACAATTCTGGAGGCAACTCTTTTCCAGGAAATAACTTTTCTTTCGGCAACTTCCAACTGTCTCATGACTCTCATCATGAGAGAGTTGACGAAGCAAATGAGGTTCTTGGTCAAGTTTATCTTGCGGAGCAACATCACAAAGTCGACTTGTGAAGATAACCATGCTCCCATTTTCATCATCAGGGAATGAGGCTTGCAAGCCCTTCCATGCTTCAACATCCCATACATCATCCAAAACAATGAGGTATTTGTTTCTTTTCAAACTCCTGTAGAGGACTTCTGCCAGATCTTCTTCACTCATCTTGAAATATTTGTCAGAAAGCTTAAAAAGAATACAATTCAAAATTTCAAGCAACAGATTTTCTTGTGATACACTTGAGAAACAGTACACCAAGCACGTGTGTAAACATAGGAATTTACTGAAGAATCATTATAAACTTTTCTAGCTAAAGTTGTCTTACCAAGTCCTGGCATTCCAACTATGGAAACAACCTGCAGCTTGCGTGATCCTCGTAGGAGTCGATTGATTATTGATGCTGCCTCATCTTCAAAACCGACCACCACATCATTGATTATAGGCTTACTTTCCAGTGATGGCATGTCATTTAATCTCTTGGTAGCCTCCTTAACTTTGCCATCAAGTCTTTTGCTGTCCCAAATCTTCAAGGCCTCTCCTTTAATGATTTTAATTTCTTCTGAAATGGAATCAAACGACAATGAACAAAATCTTGATCATCCCCAACCGTTAAGGAGTCAATAAGAAACTCTACTCTGTATGCCACTCCCACAACAAAATCCCATAGTTCTTGGAGCTCCTCGTCGTCATTGCGCAACTCCACAACTTGCCCCAAGAAAGAGCGAAGGTAAACAAAATCTTCCTTGAGTGCTTGAACTGAATGATTTACAAGAGTAGCCGAACCAGCCTCAAGATTTGTCAGATCCATCATCCTTTCTAGCAAATCAATAGACACAAGATCCATTTCCTTGACGGATCCATCTTTCATTGCGTTCAGAGCAAGAGAAAAAATAACAAGTCCTGTAAGATCTCTCATTTCATCATCAAACTTTTTCGACTTTTCCTTCAGAATGGTTCTCAAGGATCTCAATCCCTCGTACAGTGTTTGCAGTTGATCCCTTAGAGAAACCATAAGCCAAGTACCCGACTTTAATATATCCCAAAGATTACCAAGGAGAAAAACAACAAATTCTCTTAATATATGCTCATCTGTCTTCCTGTATGATCGTCTTGATACATAAGCAAGCAGGGCATTACAAATCTCCACAGGAACTCTGTAGCAGTACCCAGTAATCACTACTTCTGATTTCCATCTGCAGCAGTTCCCAATACTCACTATTGTCAGTTTCCACGTTCAGTTTCTCAATCATAATATCTCGGCATCTGAAAGGGAGGCCTGCTACACTGACTGCCACAGCTTCAAGGTGAGTCAATAAGGGTGCGAATTGCCCATCTTCATCACCACGCAGTGTGACAAAATGAACAAAGTTTTTCAAGAATGTTAGCTTCTCTTCAAGGGCTTTAATCAGTTTTATTACATCTCGAGCTTCATCTACTTGCCAATGAAGAATATCCCCAAGGTTTTCCAGAAGAGAGTCCACGAATTCCATAAGGTCATCTTTAATGACCGGGGAATTGCCAGATTGCCTGGATGGGCAATCTGAAAAACCAGGTAGCATTCTTTGATTTCCTGCTCGAATGATTCAATGTCTCTTTCTAGCCCAAAGGTTACGTCATACATGCTATCAGTAAACTCATCTTGCAAGTTAGCAATGTTCAAAAGGGAGTGAATCTCCTCTCCCCTTTTTGAAATGGCATCTTCAATCCTAGCAGCCAGAGCCCCTAGACTTGCATGATGAATGTCCACCTCGTTCTTTTGCTTGCACCACTTTATCGCACCGAGAAGAAATGTTTTAGCCACTCTTTCATATATCTCAAACCATGACGATCTCAAGTTGGACGAATGTTATCCAACAACTGCAGATCATCCAAGGCGGAAGAAATTGTGCAAGTAATATGTCTGGAGGCCATCCAATAACAGGAAGATTGTTAAGGGAACCAAAAGGGAATTCAATTGAGAGATTGGAACCTGCAGAATCTCACAAACAAGTGTTCTCCTCTTTCTCTATATAAAGATTGATAGCTATTAGTATATACTCACTGCTAGATGTATCAACACATCCAGAGGTAGAGAAACCACACAGAAAAAGTCCATGTATAATTCTTGGAAGATGGAAACTAGTTATAAAATGACTCGAATGCACTTGTTACACTGTCCAGATGCTTAAATTAGCTTAATAAGCATTTGGTTTTGACATATTTTTCTGTATTTTTTCTGACAGAATATTTATCTGTATTTTCATCTGCATTTGATAAATTATTCATACAAATAATCTGCATTTGATAAATTGTTTATACAAATAATGAGTAGCATATGGCAGTTCAACTTTGAAGGAAGGTTAGTCACCGCATATTCTGCCAAGCTATGTTGTTTAGGCTAGCACGTTACGCTAACTACAAAGTCCAATGAAGCTGCGGTTTGAGAAAATTCTTAATCTGTGATGAAAAACAAAAGTTATACTACAAAGGGGGTGATTAGTGAAGCAGCTTCCACAAATGTGATCTTCGCATTTGTGAAATGCGAGGTCAGGTACCTCGCATTTCACAAATGCGAGGTAGGTGCTAAAAAAAAAAAAGAAAAACAAGCTCGCATTCTGCGGTTGAGAGCTCAAGAGCTCGCATTTACAAAATGCGAGCTTGTTTCCTCGCATTCAAGAAATGCGAAGTAGTCAAGCCTTTTTGACCGAAAATTGGATTCTGACCGCAATGTTATAACTCAAGCTTCCCTGTTCCAGCATCAGTTCAACCGGCTTCAGCCTCCAAGACACTCATCGGTTTCCCGCTTCAGCTCAATTTCGAATCTCATATATCAGCTGGTACCCATAAATGCATAGCCTTTGCCGTTTCACCACACTCTTCGCCGCCTCATTTCTCCGCTGCTATCCAGCTCAGATTATACCAAGTTTGTTTATCCTTGTTGCCTTTTTTTGTTTAAGTTACTCAAGCTTGTTGATTACTGGCTTTTGGTTGCCCTTCCGTCCCCTCGGCCCTCTGTATAATGAATATGTACTGCTGTAATTTCTGGGCCTATGATCCGAGCTCGGATCTATAAAACCCAGAATGATCCGACCTCGGATCCTTTGAAACGCCAAAAATGAAAACAAGGGATCCGAGCTCGGATCGTACAAGTTCCTGTTTATCCGAGACCTCGGATAAAGTTCTGGTATAGTGGATCCGAGCCATGTCGGATCCGAGGAATTTATTAACAGATACGACCTCGGATCTATTTTGGTGTTGGTACTAAACAGCTAAATTCCGGAGGCCTTTGTGTAATTTGTGTTTGACAAATTTGCAATTTGATGACGAATTTAAAAAAATCTCCGCAACAAGGGTGTTTTAAGTATAGACTAATATTACTTAATTGGCCAAATGCTTCCACATACTTGAGTAATTCAACTAAATCGGTAACCGAAACGCCATAAACAAGCTCAATAGCTCTTCTTCTATCATACCAAGCTTTCTTTTAAGGAATTTTAGCGTTCAAATTTTTCGTCATTGAGGATATTTTTTAGTTTTAACTTGACAGTCCTTAAAAACAAACCCCATTGGGTAGAGAACAACTCATCCACAATTCTTTTTTAAGGAAAAAAAAAGGTGAATGTGAGGACTCACCTTTGTTGGGATTTTTGGTATTTTAATTTTTGTGAAAACATTATGGTTGGATTAAATGTTGGGCGTTCATCTGCATTTTATAGAATAGTTGAAAAAATGATAAAAACAAGAAAAGACAATCATCATGATTTAGTCGTTGGCATCAATAGAAAGGAAACAAAGGGTTTTACAAAGTAACAACAAATAATGAGATAAATATACACTCTTAAGTTGTTAATATGTGTGAAGGAATTGGTAAGGAGCATAAACTAAGAAATGCGAACCTAGCACAGGTCGCATTTAAAATGCTTGAACACCTCCCTTGTCGGAATGGGACACCAAAGTAACCCCATTGCGTGGACATTTTTTTATTTTCTATAAGTATGTTTTCTATACCTATGTTATCTAGTTTACCAACGCATGTTTTCTTTGAATTTGGGTGAATAGATCCAAAAAGGTATATCGGAACAATCAAGATCTACGGGAACGAGGTGGTTCATTTGAACAAATCCCTCATTGCACCCCAGATCCTCTGCTCCAGTACCTTATCTTTGTTCTGTGTGATCTCCATCATATTCATATAGGTGCATTTCGAGTTTTCGACACAAGTCAGGAGACTTGAAGAGGCTTTGATTGGTACCACTAGGAAGTTGTCTGCACAAGTGCATCTTCAGAATCTTCGGCAAATCATTGGGTAAGTCATGTAGTTTTCAAGTAGATTTAATTGTAGACTTGCACATGTTGTAATTTATAAAACTTTGCTTGGATTTGTTTTATTTTGAATTCATGAATGTAATGTGAGACCTTGTAGTATAGTATATTTTTTAATTGCATGTTATGGTGGTTGACTGTGGAGTATACGAAATTATTGTTGTTTCACATTCTACTGTGTAGATTATATTATTATTGCAGGCTTAAGTCAAATTCGCAGTTGCTTGTCTTCTATAAGATGCTTATTGTATGTCAAATTATTCTACCGTATTTGTAGTGCTGTAAATTATCTCATATTTGATGTCTTGTTTGAAAAGCGATGTGCCCATGTTGGTTGGCGGGGAGTTTTCGCCCAGTTACAGGGGAGACTCTGTCAAATTTTTTTTAAAATCTTTTTGGTTGTTTTGGCTAGTGATTGCCTTAAGAGTATAATAAGACAAATTGGCGACAATATGGACTCAAAAGGGGGGGTGCTTCTTTCCGTTAAATAAAACAAGACATCCTCAGAGATATTAACTACTATTCAATTTAATTAGGAGTTGTTGAATAACTTTTTGGCATTTGGATGATGATGATGTATAGGCGATTATAGGGAACATTAACTTAAAATGTTGAAATTTTGGCATTTATCTATTTGGTGTATGTATTCGGATGAAAACGTAATGTGGGCTATGCTATTGTGTTGCATTTTTCTTGGGTAATTCAGTGGTAAATTTGGACCACATAATTATGTGTTTGGAAAACTCAGTGGGTGATACTAACACACATGGAAAATGACATGCTGACTACAGCACACGATTACTAACTTGTGCCTTAAACGCACATGCATAACGATTAAGGTGAGTTGTCCTTTGTATCACACTTGAAACAGTAACAATGGATAGGGATTGTTATCTGATGTATACTCTTGTACCGCATGAGCTAACTTATTTTATTCCAAAATAGGGATTCCGTCCACACGTATGTCTATAGAAAGACCTCTGCGCGTGTCTCTTTATTGGGGAGGTAAAATACACTACGAGGATGGGTCAATTTGTTACTTGTCTCGTACCTGCAACCGTACATTCTCATTACGATGCAGGATTGGATATGATGAGTTGGTGGATAGAATCTATGAATGTATGGGGGTCGATAGGGGGCTGTTCAAGTTGAATATATTTCT